ACTTAATCACACGTACATTAAGTTATATATTACGACGACGAAAATGCAGCGAGGGATTGCGAGAAAGTGTATCAAATTTGTTATGCGCGATGGTAAATTACTGCAAATTGTTGATATATTTTCAATTCTCCATGGAGCACGACGGCGAATATATATAGTATACAATAAAACACCCTAATGGGCCAATATTTATTCGTCCCAGACGTGATATTATCGCGACGACGGTGCATCGATTACAATTATTCGCCACTTAATTTCTCCGTTTTGAAATGATCGCCGAAATTTCGAGCAACATCGTGCGTTTGTCATTCCCTCGATTTGATATCGCGGCGTATCATCTATGCAAACTTCTTCCAACGCGTGGAACACGTTCGCCTCTATCTCTCGGGGAACAATCATCCCGTGAAATTAGTTCGAACGCGAATCAATTCGAACTGACCGGCTCGGAATGGACAAGGCGGGGTCCCCGTTGAAATTCGTAGAGGCCGAAGGATTACTGGAACGTACAATTCGCTCAGGTGAAAATACATTTTCTGCTAGTCGTCCATCACCTATTGACAGTGTTATTGATCATAGGAGAGAAGGGGTGGAATCGAAGAAAGCAATCAACGGGGACGTTCGAGCTGTCTCACTGACAAAGCGTACACCAGTTTACGTCAATGACAAACGCGGGGCACGGTGTTAACAGCAATGAAATCCATCGTGGATGGACCTTTTTAAAGTTAAACACACGCACACGGAAATAAATCCAACTGGAATCCAATCCGTGTTCTGGAGAATAATATTTGTTCGATGATGGCGAGTGAGGAAGCGGGGGAAAGGAAAGTACGAGGAACGAGCAAGACAGAGACGAAGAGGAATTTACCTGTTGTTTCATGGGAAACTAATTTCCGAACTGACTGCGGAATCTCTTCTAATCCCTTTTCGCGCGAAGTTTTCTAACAGAGTGCTCATTAACGGAAATTACGTTGCACGCATTGCTCTATCGGTCGGTCATTTAATTAGATGTTTGCAAACTTGTAAGGTACATTTTACAACGGAATTTAAATAACGAAGTACGTTTAACAGGTTTTCGCCGGATTATTTTAACGACTACAAAGACTCGTTTCACGGTGAAACGGTTCGCTTTGAGATCGAATAAATTTCGCTGGTCATCCCTCTGCCTTTCTCGTCGTCGGGCGTACGCTGTCACGTAACGCGAAATCCATGCTAGTTTAATGCTAGCCCCGGCATCGGTGACATAGTCTTGCGTTATTTTATTATTGAACAATTATCGGGAAACGCGATGGAACACGCCGGACCAATTAAAGTAATCGTTTACGTGCCGATCGGACGCGGTGGCAATAAAATTTATATGCCAAATGAAACTTCCGATATCCGAACGATTTACTCACTCATAATCACCGCAATTATCGCCGTTTAATTGCCCCGCTAGGATGACAAGTTTCTTCTTTATCAGCTACGAAAACGAAATAAGGCTTTGCCTTTTCACGGCAACCCAGCAGTGGCTAACGAACGAATAAGAAAGTTCAAGAGAGTTTCCATTATCGTGCACGAAAAAACAGAATTAATGAGTCCCTCTTTTTTCCCACTTTCTCTATCTATCATTCTCCTTCTTTGTCTTTCTCGTGTGCTCCTTCTCCTTCCTTTTTTTTTTCTTTTTTTCTTTCCTTTTTTCCTGTTTCTTGCAACCGAGGCTTTTTCCCTCTCGGCGTTGCACGAAGCGGAACACGTCACCGATATTCAGTTGTATCCCCGTCGACGTTAGAAATATAGCTCGACTGTTTCCTTACATGAATGCCGCGTTTTCTAAGCTCGTAGCCGACGCAGCCAACCGGCAACTCTACCAAACTACCGCTACTAGGTTCCCGTTTATTCGATAATATTCGAGCTTCTACAGAACACGGAATTGCAACTATCGTGTGGATAATCGCAAATCGTATCCGCCGGAGCCTCGTCGACGATTTACATTCTACAATTAAGTCCTTCGTTAAACTGTCACCCGATTGCTCGACAGATAAGTCGACGTCACGAGTATACCCTTTGAACGGTGAAAATTTATCGCCAGAGTTAAAATCTAGTTTTATCGAGTTTCTGGATCGCGAAATTCCCTATGCTGCCTACGTACGCAAGGATAACGCGGTTGATCCGAAACATTAAACGAAAAATTCACGGTGTTACCCTTATTTTCACGCATCTTTATTTACTTAGTTAGCATCGCGCAACGTACATGTACACGTGAAGAAGAACACGTACAAACACGTACACGTAGACATCGTTGGATACGTACTACGGTACGTAGGGAGAAAGAGAGAGAGAGAGAGAGAGAGAGAGAGATTCCGTCCGTTCTTTTGACCCGCTTTTACGCAAAAAACGTCTGACACTCGAAAAGAATTCAAGTAGATACGGACGTTGTTACACAGACAGACACTTGTACCGTACACGTCGAGGAGGAGTACAAGCCGCAGAAAAAACGTGTATATTGAATGAATACTCAATGAGTTGCCGAGCCGTAAAAAAAAGAGACCGGACTGCCGCGGCTAAGGGAACAAAAAGAAAGGGGGAGAAAATGTATTCAAAGAATCACGAGGTTATAAATTTCTTCGATATTTCCCCGGCGCTCTATTGACCCTCCTCTCAAACGGATCCTTTCTCTCGTCGACTCATGACAATTGCGCTTTGCATCGGCTTTAATCGTTCCGGCAACCGTATCGTTCATCGACAGACAACGAGACAATGAACTAAATCGACGATGGCTGGGAGTGACGGCGCGGAGAGCGAAAAAACACGAATGAAAATGACAAATTGAAAAGAACGTGGATGCAGACTTACGTGCCATCGCTGCATCGTTCTGTAGCGTTCGATGGATTACAAGATCGTCGAGTTGGACAGGAGACAGGCACGATGTTGACATCCCGCCGATAAGTTGTCGGCCCGCTTAACGACCCTCGAAGTTACATCGTCGTCCCGAACGTATCATTTCCCAGCTACTTGACGCGGCATTTCCCTGTCGAACGTTCACGTTTCGAGTGCACCCCGGCGGCCGAGCGAGAGTTTAATGACGTTCGAAAGATCATTAAACTGGGCCGCACGCTAATTAACCTAAGGGAGAATAAACGCGCTCGACGCGACGGGGCATGACGCGTAACGAGGCTGAAATCGAAACGACGTGAAAGGAAGAGCCGAGGAGACGAACCGAGCTAGGCGCGAACAAAGCGTCTCTAATGGAACGAGCTCGAGGCAAAACGTAGTGAAATGTGGTACGTGCCTTTTGTGACTGGACCGGCGAACTGACGGACAGACGGCCGCGAACGAAATTGAAATGAAATGAAAGACTAAATGGTATCGTTTACCGCGCGGCAAAACGCGGGCGAGCAACGCATGAAAAAATCACGATAGTACAGGGGACGCGGGAGATGCGTAGACTCGTCACCGATCTCGTCGTGAATTGCACTGGCCGGTTCAGCCCTTCGCCGACTCGTAGGGGTGGCGGCGAAAGCGTGCAAGGAGAAGGGATACGGCACGAATGGTGGGAACGACGAAGGAAACGGGGTTAGGGGAGTACTGGGAGGTGAGAGGAACGAGGGATAGTGGGAGGACGAGGATGGAAAAAGAGGAAAGAGATAGAGAGAGAGAGAGAGAGAGAGAGAGAGAGAGAAGAGGATGGTGAATATATAGCTAGCAGCATCCACAGTGCTGAAAACCACCGTGGTACATTTCGCGGGGTTCCCATGAGAGAGGAAACAAGAGAAAAAGAGAGAAACGGGGGAGAGAAGGCGCGAGAGTTGGTGGCCTCTACGAAATTAAAACAAAAAGCGTGGGGAAACACATCGTGTCGCTCGAAACGGACTAGTACACACGCCGTCGTTACTCTCGTCTTTTCTCCTTCCCACTTAGGTTCGCGTCTCTCCTCTCTTTCTCCCTCTTTTCTTCTCATCTCTAATCGCACAACCGTGCTTCTCTCCATCCGCCCTGCACTGGCTACTTGTTTTTTTTTTTTTTTTTTTTACCTCCTCCCCTCCCAACCCTGTTGGACGGAGTCATTTTTTCTTCCTTTTTGTCGTTTATCACGCGTCGGCGTACACGTTCGACGTTGGAAATTACGTGGCGACGTATTCCAAGGATACTTTGCCAGGCAAAGACGACTCGTTTGCAGCGTGCACCGCATTTAGTATGTTTTGGGCAGAGTGGACGAACCAGGCAAGATCGCTGAAACGTGCAATTCTTTAAAAATGAAAACACCAGATCCCTCGTGTTTCAAGAATCGGTCTATCCCATCGGACAACCGCGATAGATGAACTCTCTCTCTCTCTCTCTCTCTCTCTTTTTTTCATTCTCCACGGTTACTTCGCGAAAACTAGCTGTGGATCTTTATTTTAATAAGTTCTCGGAACACCGTGAACATAGTCGAGCACGCTGTCCGAAAGTAGATCGTTCCGTATTTGTACCTGTAGACGTGTCTCATCTTTTCCATTCGTCTCGTCTTCCTATCCTACAGAATTTCATCGTGTACGCGTTTGATACATTCTTTGTCGGCAGGAAAGCGCGAGCGTATCATTTAATTAGAAGCTTTTTCAGTCTTCTCGCTTCCCGATGAAAAACAAACCTGTAGAAACAAGAAGAAGAAAAAAAGAAAAAGAAGAAGGAAAAAGAGAACGCGATGGTGAACGGCGCACACAGCGGCATAGAGACGCCTATGCAATTACCCCGACAGAGCGCTTTAAATTTTCTCCAAATTACTGGGCCGTGTTTCACGTCGTACGCGCATCCAAACTCTCCCTCTCCTTCATCCTTATTTTTCCCTTAGGCTCAACCTGCTTTATCTCTCTCTTTCTCTCCCTCTTATATGTATATCTGTACGATGTTATCTCCTTCCTTTACTTTCTCTCTCTCTCTCTCTCTCTCTCTCTCTATTTTTCCTCCCGACTGTCCCTTTCCAGCCACCTTTGAAATAAAAGTCGATCGAGTGAGCACAAGGGCAAGCTGCCGAGTACTTCGTTCATGGCGCGTAGATTTATCGCTTCGTTCTCTTTCAGTAGTTCGCCATGAATCGTTGCTCCTGAAGAGAACTACCAACGATGTAGAAATCGAAAAAATATCGCAAAAGAGAAGTTAAAAGGAAACACATGACAGGGGAAGGGAAGGTCAAACATGACGACCGCGCGCATCGTGTTCTAAAACGGCATATAGACCCGATGGAAAAAGGACACTACAGGCTGTCCTAGCTACTGTGCTCGTCAAAGGGTGGCCGTGATTAATGATAAGCCACCGCGATTCGAATTTCGTGGTAATAGGATAGCCTGGATATTTTAAGGATAACCCAGGAGACACGCTCCTGGATGTCTTATCTGACGCAGGCGCTCGCGTACCGCCCCACCCAGTTGCAGGAATCACCAACACAATCACGATCGAACGATAGTGTCGAGAGAACACTAAGCTAGAGGCTCGTCTATGTGCACGAGGGTGCACGTGGTCACGGTTGCCGGATGAATTTTATTAAACTTGGTGGGGGTGTAAAACTGCATACACGGCCGCATTAGTCCGACTATAATTTACGAAATTATAACGCCATATGCTTTATTACATACCATTTTTGCGGGCCTGTGAAATTTCGCCCGAAAAACTGGCCTATAAAATTTGCCAACCGATCGATGAGGTTTTTACGACAAAACGACCATCGCGAAAATTTCGTGTCGCGCGAAATTGTTTTTACTTCAAAGCCCGATACTTGGTCCCACGTATTCAGTCACACATATCGTCTATACGAGTTGGATTTTTTTAATAATTGTGAGGCAGAAAAGAGAATGCTATCACGATTTATTTTTTATTCGTTGATATTTATTAACACTGTAATCTTCTTTTTACCGTGAGCGTAACAAAGCGAGGTAATAAGAAATCTTCCATATTCAAAGCAACGCCATATTTCTTGAGTAATTGTGCAGCAACAGTAAAACAGAGTGCAAAAAATCGAGCGATAAAAGGACAAAAAAAGAGATGCCTAAGATAGGTATCTCTACAGGGATAGTTTTTAAAATAGTGCCGCTTATGCGAACTTTCCCCTTGAATTGACGTAGACTGCGCTGTAATGTCTTGTTCTCCTTCCTAGACTTTATGACTGTTGCTCTTTCTTTCTCTTTCTGTTACCGAGTTATATTTAATCGAATCACCTAACTTCAATTCCCTTTTTTCAAATGTTTGCTCGCTTTCAACGGGAGTGCAAATATAGCTTGATGTATTTGAGACTGAAAATCTACTGGTTTTGCATGGTTTTTGCACACAAAATTTATTTGCTTGCTCGTACGTGATTGATGAAAATATATATGCAAAAGTCAAACGAAGAGACAATGCTCGTTAAAATCATTCGATTCATTTATATTAAAATTGTTAAAAAATTATTCATCGTTTCATTGGTTCAAAATTATTCAATTTTTCTGTTTCTACCACTTTCCTAAAGGTATGTGAAAGAACGTCTTCTCCTCGTATTCTCATCTGTTGTATAACGAGTAAATAATAGAGAGAGGTAGTATGAAATATATCAATAAGAAACGAGCCGATGGAAGCTTGAATTTTGGTGAGCAATCTTGAATGATAGCCGAACGAAAATAACGTTTAGATTATCTGGTAATTATGATAACTTGATCATAATCTCTCGGTGCCTCGGAGCAAGTACGCACGAAGAAACTTTACAAACTTATTACCAAGTGACCTATAGCCGGAGTAGCTTAAGACAGATTTATCATTTCGGCGTGTGGTTTAATTAGAAATTCTAACAAGCTTCAACAACAAATATGGCGTATTTTGAAAGTTCCGATGTACCATTTGCGTGAAACTAAACCGCAATCTTTCGGTAAAGAGATTCATCCGTGATTCTAGCATCCCTTATTTATGAATGTCGAGAAAACAATGGCGCTTTATAGAGAAAATTTGCATATAAATTCAGATAGCACGACACACGATACCCCTCGTCCTTAATCGACACGAACGAAACACAGTTGAACACCTTCTCCGCAAGTTCTAATCGTGACGTTCCTCTAGAACCTCCGACAGATATATCTTTTTTTCATTCTTTATCATATAAAAATATCTTGGATAATGCACACCGTCAAAAGTGGAGATATTATTTTTAGTTTGCACTTTGGTACATAGTAGGAGCATTTATATTTGTTATGTCCGTACGACTTATCGCGAATATCCCTCTTTATCTTTGTCTTTCTCTCATTCGCTTTCTATCTCGCTAAAAGGAATATCCATACTTTACAAAAATCCGAGACATTTCCTCACTGTAGCTAGAGAATTAAATTAAGCATTACGACACTTTGCAAGCTCATCCATTTATTATCGGTTATTACTTCAAAGAATATAACAAATCTCTCTCCTTTCAAAAACGAAAATACTGAAGAAGCTTTTTATCTTAAGACGAATAACGAACAAAATCCGTGTTGCATTCAGAAGCAAACATTTACGTAATTAAAAATATAATCAACAAGTATCAATCACCGATAACAACGTGAGATCATGTTTTTAATGAAGTAAGAATAGATTTGTACAGATGTTTTCTTCTTTGGTATGATAAGAAAAAAAAAAAAAGATTACGCAAACCACGGAAATCTCATTATTATTGTCAATGAAATTCGCAACTAAAAGAGAAGAATAAAATTTCTTCCTGAACCTGATATTCGTCATCTGTTTTACATTGTAACGTCTATTACTCTAAAAGTCTAAATTTTACTTGATACTCTTGGTTGAAACGAGTCTCGAGTTTTCTCTTGGATATGCTACAAATGAACTCTGGCTTTTGTAAATCTACCCCAATTACTCGTGATATAAGTACTACGAAACTAACATTAAATTTTATTGCATTCTGATGTTTTTTGATTCTAGCTATTTTTGTTTTAGACTGAATGTATGCAACATTAAAAAGATTTATCAGAATCAATTTTCTAGATTTTTAACCATATCAAGACCACGGTAATGTTTTTTATCTAATTAATCATCCAGCTGAACTCGAAAGATAAAAATTTGAAATATTTCGTCATTTTCATTAATAGATCAATGTTAAGGAAGTAAAGCACGCTTAAATTAAATAAATTTTAATTTTCTAATTCCATCAATTATAAAATTCTAAAGATAATGGAGAAAATAAAATAAAAATACTTAAATATAATGCTGTGAATATAAAATATTTAAACATAACAAAAATATTAAATACGTTATAATATATAATTAAATATAAATAAAAATAAGTAATCTTACTTTAATACGTTCATGTAATATAAAAATGTATCATCTAATCAGATTAAAATTACATATTCATTTGATTATATTCGTGTAATATAATCACTGCATAATTCTAAATTAAAATATATTATTTCATAGTCATTTCAATATAAAAATTAGTTATTAATAGAATAATTGTATAATACTTTTGCCCAAAACAGTAATGTACATTCATACTATTCGCGCCTTTATAATTTACACTTGTTGCATTCACTTAAGTATAGAGATCGCTGCAGTATTTTTCAATATAATATTTCATGTTCAATAACAAGTAGAACTTGAACAAACTCACTATTAGTAAATATATAAAAAAGTTTATTTTGAATACAAGATGGTTAAAAATGTTACAAAAATCCTTGATATTTCGTGGAGATTTGGTGGTACGAATCTAACCTCAAAATATAAATCATTTTAGAAATTGTTTTACGTTAAATACAATTTATAAAATAATTGATAAATTGTAAAGTACAAAAGTTATTCTCATCATCCTTCTTTATGTTAAATAAGAAAATGAAGTATATATTATATATTACAATTGTCAATGAAGAATAATTCTTTTCCATATATATAATATTTTTGTAAAATAATATAACACTGAACAAATAAATTTTTGCAGTAACTGCGGCGAGTAATGAATCTGACAACATGGGGAAATCGTTTCTGCATTTAAAATTAAATTTAGAAGAAAATGGCAAAACTAGGAATGTTTTTGTAGAAATGACAATCAGTGAATTTTATAAATTTCTACATGATCTAGAAAAAGCAAAATGTAATCTTGATCTATTACTTTGAATTTAAAATATTTAATTATAAGTTAATTCCCTAACATGAATGTTTTATAAAAATACTTTAATTGTACAAGTGCAATATTACATTAAATAAAATAGTACAACTAAAAATTGGTTATTTACAAATATGTAATCTACTATGACTAGTTTACATAAAAATTGAAAATGTTAAAAATATAAAAGAAATATAAAATAATTTTAGTATTACTGAAAATATTTTTATATACATAATCTCAAATTACTAAATATCATACCTTTTAAAATTAGGCTTCCATTTCATTAGCTTAAAAATATACTGTGGTCATATATACATTGTTAGATGAAAGAAGTTTTTCACATTAAACAATCACTTTCTGAAATTCCATTTAAAGATTTATGTAGATTCTATTTTGAAGAACCTGTCATCTGAAAATAATATAAATTCTTATCAAAGTCAGTCATTAAATTACATTTGTACTATATATAGAAAATATTAGCAAATTGAACATGTTATAATTTGAATATTTCAAAGAAAATTATAATAGTATTGAAACAGTGAGTACAAAACTAGGAATCTTTATTTATTTTTTAATCTTTACAATTTTGGATTTCCTTACTCTCTATCCTATCAACAACCTGAAGATCTAATTACATATTTATCAAATATTACAGATACTTATATTAATAAATATAAAAATAACTTTATATAATCTCTTCATGATTACTTAAATTACATTTACATAGTTCAGTTATTTTTTTCTCAACTTTTTTTTTATTAAATAAAGAAACATAAAATTTAAAAACTTTTAAAAAAGTAACAACAAAAAAGCTTTTCGTCGAATTAATACTGTATCTAAAATACTATTGAGAGAACATCAAATAAAAAGTAAAAAGTTTGTTTAAAGTCGAGATTGAATATAGTCAGATCATTTAAAATTTTAAATACAAAACAAAGAAAGCAAAATTTGCGCTTCATAGTTCCCGCATTTGAACATATAAATTAGTCAGAAAAAGATGGTATTTTACAACTCCAGTTGCTCTACGTTTTGCAGGAGGAGGACTGATTACAGTACCTCTTTGATTATAAGGTTCTGCTAATGCTAATGCAGGATTTCTTGAATCTGTTGACGAGCTTTCTTGCATCTTCTCAGTTGAGAATCCTTGTAAGGCTTCTTTTGCTTCTGCTTTTTTTTGAATGGATTCTAACACTGGTACAATGGCACCAAGTAAAGGACGTTTAGATGGTTCTCCGGACCAACATTGCTCCATTAATCTCCAACATTCGTCATTAAAAGAAGGTAATCTTTCTGGGCGTATACCTGATAACAATGAAAACATATAAGGTAGAATATAAATATATTTTTCTATAGAAAAAAAAAGAAAAAGAAAACTAAATATACCTTTTTTCACACTGGTCCATAATAATTCTTTATTATGGAACTGTTCAAAAGCATATGGTAATCTTACATGTCCTGCGCATATATACCAAAATAAAATTCCAAATGCATATATATCGACGCTACTATCATAATGGCCAGAGAGGAGTTCTGGTGCCATATGAACAGGTGTTCCAACAATGCTTCCTAACATCATAACTTCTGTGATACAAAAGCCAAAATCAGTTAATTTCGCTCTATTTTCAGTATCGAGGAGAACATTTTTCAATTTAATATCTCGATGTACAAGTCCCTGAGAATGAAGATAACGTATTCCTTCTAATACATCTAATGCTATTTGTATACGTTCTAGCCAAGATAAGCCAGCACGTAATCCACAATATAAATCACGACTTAAACGATCAGATATTAAAAGAACTGCAGATCCAAGACCAAATCCTCCACCATAGGAATGATCAATAACAGATCCTCGAAGTTTTACTATTCTTTTATGTTCAGGAATAGATCTGCTATAGTAAAATTCCATAGCCAGATCATTCCAATGGCTTTCATCTGACGGAACAACTGACTTAACTGCACAAGGACCATTTGTACCACCCCAGCCGTCGCAGGCAAATACAATGCCATATTGTCCACGGCCAATTTCTTCTTTATAATGGGGCATTCCATAGCGAACCACATCTATCATTGATGTAGATTCTAATGCTAATTTAGCTAATCTAGGAGCGTAATATTTTCTAATAGCTATTTTCTGCTCTTCTGTTCTTTCCAACTTTCCAGAATAATAGTTTTCTATAGATTTAAGAGCTGCTTGAAATGCATCATGTGAGGATTCGAGTTTATCCCCAAATTGCATTAATATTAATTTGGCTAGCTTTGTTGCTGATAAAGAATTCAGTATTTCAATTGTAACTTTTCTCCTCCAAGCTACATCTAAAGTATGAGTTGATGACCATTGTAAAGATGAAGACCTAAAAATTAGATTCAATCTTTCTAAAAACGAATATATCGAAAATGGTGAAGAATTATGTAACTCAATATTATATGCAGCTGAAAGTATCTGTTTCAAAGCATCACTAGCCAATAGACAAGTGTCACGTTCGTAAGTTTTTTCGAGACTTAATAAACAACGTTGCAAAGTACCAACAAAGCTTTCGCGCAAACATTTGACAGAATTTACAAGTTGTTTTGCAACTTTTTCGCCTAAACGGTGAAGTACTATTCTCTGAACTTCCGAGATTGCAGCTTTAACAGTTGCAGTCCATTCTGGTCTTCCATTATTGAAAGGCGTGTTTTGATACAAACATACATCACTATTAGATGATAACACATCATTTTTCATTTCTTGAATAATATTCTGTATTAACCCAGTCAGTTCTTGTTGTTTTTCATGAACAGTTTTCATTAAATTGGCATATAATTCATTCTCCCTCTGTTGAGCATATTGTATTCTCTTAGGAGTTATCTGAATAATGCGTGCCATATCAAAGGCACTTAAAATAAATTTTCTTAGACTTGTTGCATGTACTTCGTTTAAATAAGTGCTAGCATTAATAAGATATGTTTGCAAACATCCACGAATGAAATATACAATTCGATCTGTCTTTTTGCATGAATCAAGAAAATCACTGGAACCAATACATTGCCCACTACCTAGCCAAGATAACTGATCAACTTCAACAGATTCTTTCATTCCAAGAAAACCTAAACTTGTAAGTTGGTCAAACCATGTTAAACCAAGTGAATTCATTCTATCAAAATCAATATCATCATCGTTGGAAGTTAATCGATTTTGAAGTCTATGTTGCTCAGATTCAGTCAATTCAGCATCAATGCCCGTCAATGAAATATTTTCCAAAGATGATATAAACAGTACAGAATTAAAGGGATAAGTTCTTTTTAAGTCCCTTAATTCTTCCAAATTTTGCTCTGTTAAAGGCTGATCACCCAGTGCGTATAAAAATATTGGTAAAATAGATAACAACTCTTTTTCAAGAACTTTTATTGCTCCAGTATTTGGTGCAATATATATTTGAACACCATCTTTTAGTATGGGCTGATTTAATTGGACTTCAAGTACTGTTGGATAAGTTGTATCTTCACTACCAGATTTTGTTAAATCTTCAACCGGAAGTGTAGTCCAAGCTTTCTCATTTGCTTGCAAATTTTCAACTACTTCATATTCTAGACCTAATGTAAGACTAATGTGGTTTGTTTGACCATAAATAAGTCTAATCCACCGCCACAATCCATTACATGTTGGTAAAATATTAGCAGATATTAAAGTATTGACTATTGTTGCTTTTGCTTTGTTATCTTGCCCAAGAACTACAATAGCTGGAGAATTGGCCAAAATATGTGTAATTCTATTCAATGTTAAAGGAGACAACAATTCTTCCACAATATTTTCTGTAAAAATAATAAATAAAAAATAAAATTTTATATTGAGCTGTCAATACTTAAATTCATTTTAAATTATCAAGAACCAATATTTACCTCCAGGAAAGAAGTTTTCTAGGTTAATAACTTCTAATGCTCGTTGTGTTTCTTCAAGAACATGTTGCAGATGATTTCGATTACGTAGATATTTTCTAAATTCATGTGGTAATTTGCTTACCATTTTTGAATCTTACATTAAAACTTTTGGTACTTCAAAATTTTCTTTATCCTGTAAAAAACATTTTATATTACATAAGAACACTAATTTTGTTAAATTTTGTTAAACAGATGAAATATTAATATAATATTTATCTCATTAATATAATTAGATTTTTAAATTGTAAATACAACCTTTTTCATTTATGTCATAAAAACTGTTAAGTAAACATTTTAGAACAAACTTCTACTAATACTAATATGATTAAAATTAAAAATAATTTATTATAATAAAACCACATTATGTAATATCATATAAATTATTTTCATAAATTGTTCATATTTAGATTAAAATGTAATTTCCTACAAAATAAAATATGTTACAAGTATTGTATTATTAACTGACACAGTTCTTGTATTACTGACCATTAACAGTTTTGATCAGAGATCTATTTGTTAATGAATTTTTATTTCAAGACATAATAATCTTCTTTTTAAAATTTTTTTGTTATTCACCTATAATATTATTTATAATTAGTTGTAATTTTCCATTACTGAAATGTACTAGACTATCAAATTAATATACATACATGTAAACAATGTGTTATAAAATTCTCATCACAGATACACACGCATTCACAATATAAATATTAATTAAAATTTCAGGCACTTAATCTGCTAATGTCAAAATTCTATATTAGAGAAAATTATTTATTGAAAAATGATAAACTTTATGCGAACAGTACACACCCGGATACATGATGGAAACTAAGCGCGGTTGTTTTAACTCAAATGCATGAACCGTTTATTATAACTATTCTCTTCAGTATTGACTATAAATGAAAAGAAAATATTGAATTGGATGATAAACTGTATGTACCATTTACTTGAAATGATATATTTCCAGACTTTGCATATGTACCCTCGTTTTGTGTGATTAAGAAAATACGAACAAAGAGTATAGAATAAACAAGATTCCCCCTATTTCAGAAGATAAAATCCTTAGATACATTGCCTGTGGATACATGTCAATACTTGCAAAGAATTATAGATGCAATAAAATATATTTATATAAATGTCGTAGTAATTAAAAATAACTTATCAAATATGTACTTCATAAAATCATCCTTTGTGGAGATATATGTATACATAACCTCTATCAGTATTTTATCTATATTTTTTCACATATAATAACAATTATGTAACAAAAAGAGAAAAGATATTTTTATAACATGAATATATTTTTTTCGCTAACACGAATTTTTATGAACAATACATGTTCTTCAACAAATAAAGGAACAAATAATTATAGTATGATATACAAATCAAAAATAATTTTTATTCTATACAATTATTTTTATCTTATATTCTTAAATATATATTTTTTTCAATTTTACAATCATTTGATAGTAATTATTATGTTATGTGAAAGTAAT